TATATATATCTATATATATATATATATATATATATATATATATACTGTATATAACATATACACATACAAGCTCATGTTGTACATTTGTTGTTCTACCTGAGCTCCAACAGTTTATTACATTTACAAAAATAATAAATAAGTAAATAAGACTTTGTCCTTCTCTGCACACAGAAATCATTTTAAAGTTTGAACGTAATACGACCAGCAGATGTCCCTGCAAACCTGTTTTCAGCTCAATGTTTTTTTTAGTCTGTTAAAGGCAAAAACAATCCATTGTTTCAATGTTTCTCTAACTAGTAAAACATTTGTTTGACGTAAAATTGTTTTAAAAATAAATTTTATATTAAACTTGTTCATGTTAAATTCTTCCAAATGTTCCTCCTCCTGTTGTTTGGGGTTATGATTTCCAAACATCACTTTTATCCTTCAGAGTCACAGGAGAAGAGAAATAAAGTCATTACAGAGAAATGAACATTACATTAAGAAAAAATAAGGCTGGATTTTAGAGATTCATTTTAAAATAGTATTTTTAAAATCAAACTAGACAAACAGATTTTTGATTAGAGATTATACCCGAACGTCTCAGCTCTGACAACAAACAAGTTCATTTGATTCCCAGTTCAAGCTGTATGGTTTTTAATCCTCCTCTCTGGGTGAGGCATTGTTTTATGTGAACTTGTAAAGTGTTTCATTGTTAGAGAAGAACAGAAACGGTACCCTTGACCCTCAGAACCTCGTAACCCTGCACCTTTTTGTCACGTTAGGAGTAAATGTGTAACCACATTTTAACGAGCTTTAAGTGTATTTTTGACTCAGAAGCTAAAGGTCAAAATGAAGATTCTTACAATGACTTGTATAAGAAACTAATGTGGATCCTCTCAAACCATCTCGCCAAAGAAGTTCAGAAGAAGCAACGTAAAGGGATAGTTCAAATCTTTTGAAGCAGAGTTCTGTGAAAAGATATTGTTGGACAAAATAAAAATCTTTTCATCATCTGCTTGCTCGAATAAGCCACTCTGAGGACATGAGAAGAGTTTTAACTGGTCTTTTACTTGCAAGGGCTCATTCAAAACATACACACACAGATGCACAATGCAGGGACCATGACGCTGAACGAGCCTCGAACAGAGTTAGCTGCAGCCAGATCCATGGCTGTCGGCTGGTTGACCTCCAGCTGGAGATCAGAGAATGTTTTGTGCACACTTTACAGAAAGATGTTCTCAGCCATAATATAATAAAACAATTTGTAACATAAATGATCAAACAGATATGAACAATTAATTTTGTTTATGGAGGGAAACAAAAACCTGAACTCGGTCGACTCAACATTTTGTGGGCTCAGCAACCACAAATATGGCTTTTTCTGCTAAATTCATAAATCCTCCTTTTTTTAATTCCTCATATAAATACCAGTGTGAACACATAACATTGTAAAGGAGATGGAACAGTCTGAATAAGCCAACAGACTGCTTTGTTAGAGTCAAATACGTCTGTTATATTTATATATTCATTCATATTTGAGTAAAACAACCAGACAGCACATTTTAAACTCCCTGACTGGAATGCTGAAATCAAACTTGTACTCTTTACTCATTGTTTTGGAAACAGCCAGACCAGTTTGTACTAAACTACCGTCTGTCTTTAGTTTATTATGTGTCCAGAAAAGTATTTTTTTAGAGAAATGTCAAATAAATTAAATCACTAAGCTTCATAAGGGGATAGTAATGATTTCTTGAGCACGTGGAAGCGGTGCTGTTTTCGTGGGATGTCTCGATGTTGCAGGTCTTTTTACTTGCAGCACTGTTGAAGAAGAACAACAGCGTTAGAAAGTAAGAGTTTTTCTGCCAACTCTGAGTGTATATTTCGGATGTTACCTGTGCGATTTTCTTCCATCGTGAAACTATGGCCAGAAGAGTGGTGAGGAACACCACCACCAGCCCCGCGATCATCGGCATCAGAGGGAACTTCTTGGTCTTCTCTGCAGATGAAGAAATCATTTCGTTTTGCAGATTGCACAAACCAGGAAGCAATAAAACATGAAATAAAGCCATCAAATACTTAAAAGTGCCTTTTGTGACAATATAAAGAGCAGGAGAACTGACCTGTCACAGTGACATGGAAGAGCTTGCTGCTGTGTCCATAACTGGGAGAGTTTGTCGTGCACTTATACGTGCCTTCGTGCACGCTCTTCTCCACCTTGCTGGCTCGTAGCACACTCGTAACGCCGTCGCTGGTCACCGTGAAGCCGTCTGCTAACAGATCCACCATGCTTCCGTTTAGTTCCCACGAGATGGACAGGAGTACTGGGTTGGCCCGGGTGTCACACTGCAGGACCAGAGTTTCACCCTCTTCCACTTTGACCTCCTCTGAACCGGAGAGCAGAGGGTGATCTGAGGAGGATCAAGGAAAATATTAACACCGACAAAGCTTCATTAGCCCCCATCTCACCCTGTCCCCCCAGATTAAGATATCTGACTCATTGAAGCTATTTTGTCGTTCTGACTGCTCGTATTTCTCATCTTTAACAGTAAGAAGATAAAATATCCAAACTGGATGGGACAAAATCTGCTCAGACACAGTTCAGATATGATAAAATTTATAAACTAGAAAAAAAAACCAAACATCATTATGTATTTATAAAATTGTTTACATCTATGATGATATTGATCCATCTTTTTGCACCCCATGTCGGGACTCAGAATAGATTTGTACAAGTCAGAACAAAAGAAAGTGAACAAAATAAAGGTCTAACATTTCCTAAACCAGTGGTTGTCAAACTGGGGTCCCCACACCCCAGGGGTCCATGAGCTGGTGCTTGGGCGTCCGCAAAAAAAACAACAACACATAGTAACAAGCTGTTAAAATACACCAAAATGCAGGAAATGGCATCTACTTTATTAAAAATGTTCTCAGGGAGGACCCTCCCTCTCCCCCGCCCTTTATTAGCGTTCCGGCTTCAGTCAGTTTACAAACTAAGCCCTGCTACTTGGTCTGAATACTGCTGTTATGATTCTGTTCAGTTTTATGTAAAGAGTTTTCTGTAATAATTTGAAGAAGTGGCGACACATTTATTATGTTCATTATGTGAATAGGTAAAGTTTTAAAGCCATTTTGGATGACGTGAATTTTCTCAAAACTGTAATTTTTAGAAGTTGAAATTAAAAATTTTGTTAATTAAGTGTGTCTTGAATGAAAAATACGGCATGTTTAAAAGTATCAAAATTGTATTAACACGAAGAAGAGGTCTTAAGTATTTATGCTACACAAATATTTCCATTGCATTAAAGAGACAAACTGCAGAAAATTACTTAAGAAACATGAGGGTTATGAGGGGGTCCCTGAACTGAAAAAGTTTAAGAACCCCTGTCCTAAACAATGCATGCATCTTTTATTTCCTTTTATTCAGACAGGTTAACTCATTTCTAAGAGAGGCCAGTAACACAGACACATAAAACCAACACAACATTTCATAAAACATTCATATGACGCCCAGCTAAGCTTTAAATTGTGCACATTTAATGTTGAGAAACAAGGAACATTTATTATGTGACGTCTTATGAACTGTGATAGCTCAGTGCATGTATTGAGGATGACTCTCAGCTACTACTGCAGTGAATTTAGCTCAATGTCTGTGAAGCATATTGGCTAAGTTTGATTAGCTGTGGTGGCCATCTTGAATTAAACAAAAAGTTCATCACTTGTAGATGTTCATCAAATGATAACTTTCTGAGGCTTTCACTAACATTCTTCCAGTGGTTCATGAGATTTTTTGCTAACATGACAGCCAAAAATACCAACGCCCACACACATCTGCATGTTCTCTCAGAAACCTCCATGTTGGGTTCATTGGTGACTCTGACCGTCCCTGGGTGTGAGTGTGAATTGTTTGTCTCTGTGTGTCCCTGTGATGGACTGGATACCTGTCCAGGTGTCTCCCACCTCTCACACAGTGATACTGGACATGGACGCCACAGCCCAGAAAGGAAGGGTGGAAAATTTGTCAGGACTTTGTAGTAGTACAGCTTTAGAACTACAGGAACTAATCTGAGAAGGTTGTTGTGTCCTGCTAATTGTTTTGAGCATGTTCGAAATTCGGGCAACACGGTGGCGCAACTGGTAGAGCTGCTGCCTGTCAGCAAGCAGGTCTCTGGTTCAAACCCCGGTCCAGGGACCTTTCTGGGTGGAGTTTGTATGTTCTCTCTGTGCATGTGTGGGTTTTCTCCGGGTGCTCTGGTTTCCTCCCACAGACCAAAAACATGCATGTTAGGCTGATTGGTAACTCTAAATTGTCCCTGATTTAACCCTCAGGTGACAGGCCCTCCTCTCCGTCTTCTGACCAGTTGGTTTCTGCTTCCAGTGCTCGTAAGGTCCTTGACATGTTGTGTCTAACTCACCTTCAGCAGAACGAAGGACTGCGAGCGTTTAACCAACACAGACTCGTGCGCAGATCTTCAAAGGAGGCTGAAGCGTCAGAGATGACGCTGTGTTCTGGCTGAATGCTGATTAATTAAAAGTTAGCTCAAGCTGAGAGGAGCTGGCAGAGGTCCACACATTTACAAAGAGGACGAAGCATCAAAAACAATAAAACTAAGAAATGTAGATTCAAAAAGGCAGCACTGATGGAGGACGATCTTAATGTATTTAAATCTTTGTTTAGCTCCTTCATGAAGCAAACCTTTGTCCATCGTGACTGTTGTTGTTTTTCACATTTGAGCAAAGCTACACGATGAACAATCAGGAGTACCAGATCCTTCCAGGGAATCTCTGAAACTTATTGAGAGCTGATGCGGCTTTAACGTCTGGCCAGATGTGGCTAAAAATGTCACGACCCTCATAGATTTGTTATTTGACAGCTTTAGATGTTGTTTACCACTATGCTTTAAAGTGACTCACAGGTGACGTTCAGGGTGACGGAGGCCGTGTCGGAGGCATTGCTGTGCAGGTAACAGGTGAAGGTGGCTCCGTTGTCTTCATGGATGACAGGAGAGACGCAGACATGACTGCTACCCTTCTTGTTTTCTTCCTTCAGATCAATCTTTGCTCCGTTCCTCAGCCACACCAGCTCTTTGTCAGCTTCAGAGTCACAACGCAGCGACACAGTCTGATTCAGCACCACCTGCACGACACCATCACTGGTGCCGGGAGTGGCCTCAATGGTGATGCCTCGGGGGGGGGAAGAGGAAGAACGTTGAAACTTCAGGCATCGACTAAAGGAAGCAGTGAAAAACTAAAACTATATAGAAGGAAACAATGATTAATTTACGTTTTTAATGCGGTGACTCAAGGAGATGAAGATAAAAGCTTACCTGATGTCTGGGTTAAACAATAAACGAGCAAAAGGAAAGGAATGATTAATCTCATTTTAGTGATCGGATCAACCTGGACAGAAATATAAGCAGAAACTAAATTAACTAACTTACTAATAATAAATAGATCAAATAAATAAATAAGTTAATAAATAATAATAAATATAATAAATTAAAAATATAAATATGCATATAAAATAATAAATAATAATAAATAAATAACAAATAAATTTATAATAATAAAAATAAAATAATAAATGAATAAATAAGCAGCAACAACAACAACAACAACAACAACAACAACAACAATAATAATAATACTAATAATAATAATGAAAATAATAATAAATAAAAACTAAATAAAAGTCAACAGAAAGAAGGTCGCTGGTTCAAATCTCTGTTCTTTCCATGTACAGGTTACAGAGTATCTGTGAGCTTGTGTCTGGACTCCATTCTAAACACATGTTGGCGGTTAGACACAAATATTGTTGCTCTTGTGGAGCCAGGGTCAGCTATACCGAAGACATATTATATTATTAGGCCACATGTCTTCACTTGTTGGGAATCGAAGCCAACAGAAACGGTTTCACAGAAGTTGCCATGTTTATTTGTGGAAGCAGCGTTTGCAGTGATGTGGAGCTTTGCGCTCATCCTAACCCAGGGGTCTGCAACATGCAGCTCTGGGGCCACACATGGCTCTTTGGTTCCTCTGCAGCGGCTCTTTCAGGCATTGACCAAAACTAAAATAAAATTTTTATATTTTTATTTCATTTTTATTGCCAACAGTGAAAATGGCTAGTTTTATCGGCTTTCCTGACATTTTCAAATATGTGAAGAATAGTAAATACAAGGTGTAAAACATGTGGGCTACATCATACTATAGTTTGTTCGCCACTTTAAGTTGACTTCCAGTCTCACAGCGTGATCTTTCTCTCAAAACCAGCAAAACATTTTGGAGTATCTTTAAGACAAGCTGCTGAGAAGGAATATTTGATGACACTAAGAATAAAACACAAAAAACTAAGTCAAAGTATACAAAAGTATTTATTTTTCTTTAAAAATCTTACTGGATACCCAACAAACTGGCCTAATTTTATACTGTCTTTAACTTTATGCTTTAAGTAGGAAACTTAATTCTTCAACAATTAAGAGAACTCGCATCGGTCTGCAGAGTTCACTGTTTTACTTTTTATTAAATTGTTCAAAATTATATATTTTTCTTTCTTTACATGAATCTGGTCTTTTCTTTTGTAGTAAAATGTAATATCAATAAATGTTAATAACAGTTAGATATTTTTAATTTTCTAATATCACCCCCACTTGCTGGGAAAACCTTCTCCAACAAACTTGAAGTGGTCCATGGGCCACCAGTTGACACAGTTGTAGCAGGTTTTGCTGACACATCGTAATTAGTTAACAAAGTGGCAAAAATGTCTGTTTTTATTGCAAAGGTTGCAGACCCCTGAACTAACCCTTCACACACTCACAGTGTAACATGGCCTTACTTTGAAGCATAAAGTAACTAATTATGACTAAATGTATGAAACAATAATTCCATCAGAACCTGCAGCAGTAAGGTAAAGCTGTCTGAGCTGTGTGTTTTATTTAATGGGGCTGAGCTGTGAATTTTATTTAATGGGGCTGAGCTGTGTGTTTTATTTAATGGGGGAACGTCCCGTTCATTGACTCAGATGGGGTCGGGCTTTAAACTTGAACTGAAACCAAGAAAAGACAAGAAAAGTCCGTTCAGTTCTGGTTCTGACTTCTGGGTTTGAGTCAGAGGTCTATCCTTACACAGCCTACAGCCACTGAGCCATAGTCCCACCTATGCATCCTAACAGACGGTCATGCTGTCTGTCACTGTGTGAAACTTTATAAGACATAAAACTATAAAAATTAAATGTAACACAAGAAAAATCAACAAAAATCCACGCCTGCCAAAAATAAAAACCTGCCTGCAGGGTATTTTTGTATATTTTGGCAGGAAAATGGGCCATTAATTTAAATAAGGCATTTATTTTTTTGAGGAACAGCTTTAAGGCTTACAAATAACATTTCAAGCATTACACTTAAACGTCTGGATGTTACACAATAAACCCGCAAAACTTTTAACTTCTTGGCTTGTTTTTGTTCTGACAGCCTTCATGTTTTACAGAAGGAATACAAAAGATACTTTTTAAACAAAGTTTTTGTTATTTTTTTTAGACCAACTTCTTTTCTCAAACATTTTTTTCTTCTAATTATTAAAGGATTTGGGTCAATAAAGTAAAAGTTCAAACATAAAATAACTATTATTGTTTCTGATGCTTATCTGAAATATGGAACCTGCGCCGTGTGTTCATGATGACAAAATAATCTCTTGGTGTTTCTACAAACTTTAATCTGAATTTAAATAAAAAAAAAGCTCTTACCTGTCTGTCACCTGTCTGTGTGATCGTGAGGATGTGAAAGGCTCTTGTAGTCCCTCAGGGCACTTTTATAAGCTCTGTTTCCAAATGAATTATTTACAACATTACAGCTGACCGTTCTGTGTTTTACTGTTTGACTCTTCAGTCGTCATCACTGAGGCTCTAAAGCATCTTTCAAATTGTTTTTCACAGCTTTATTACCTGCTAACAGATTGATGTTTAGAGGGCTCTAAAACCACGTGTGTCAATCAAAGTTCAAATTCAAGGCAGCAGTCAGTTTAAATAATCAAAATGTTTTGATACTTTTTGTTTTACAGCGTCTTTAGGCAGAAATAGACCTACCTGATCATGTCACGCCTTTAAAACGTTCATTTTAATTTTCCTGCAGAACAAGACAAGAACATGGATGTAAAGTTAGACTAACTCATTTTATTGTCAACTCTTACCTTGTTTTCTTGTGAATGCCAGATAATTAACTGTCAACAGAGACCATAACACGTTTTTCAGCAACAAGTTTTGTTACGAGTCCAGGATAAAAAAATTAAAAAATCCTGATGTTGATTAATAATAATTGAACAGCACAGATGAGGCTCAGCAAAAAGCAGATAGTTGACATGAAAATGATCAACCAGAGTGAAAAGCTAATCGAGTGCTGAGGCGACATTTCTGCACCAAGACATGAACGTGGTGCTAAATCTGTAACAAGTCAACCAGTTCAGGAAACATTATCATTAAAATTTTTATTTACTTCACACAAAACGAATAAAAATAACTAAATGCTTTTATTGAATCAGTTTAGATAAAGGCAGGAAAAATTTTAAAACCTGCATCGTCCTTCTGATGGAGAAGTATTTTATTTTAAAGTAATAGTTAATATGTTTTAAAGTGTGTTTCCTTGTGGTAAAGTTGTGAACGACTAATATCTTACCTGTAATAGATAGCTCTTTGAATGACCCCAGTTTGGAGAAATATGAGTTTATTTCTGATCGGCTGGTCTGAACAGAGTCATTTTAAACCAACTCCAACTTTATATATTTTAAAGTAGCTCATGCAAACACAAGTCGGTTTTACACTACAGTAGTCCCTCGCTACTTCGCGGTTCGACTTTCGCGGATTCGCTCTTTCACGGATTTTCAACGTAAGATTGTACACGACACACGATTGTCAACGTTAATAATACTCATGTGATTGGGATGGTAGAGGATAAAAAGTTAACGGGAGACCGGATGGGAGCGAGTACCAACCAATAGGAAAAAACAAACAAACAAACAAAAAAACTTTGGACAGGCGCCGCCATTTTGTAGTTTTCTTTCGATAAGCCTGTACTGTCAAGTCAAAAGAAATACAACGGCCCACAAGCCAGCAGTGCTTCCGGCCTCTGCTTTCTGTTGAAATGGCAGTAATGAAGGGAGCAAATGGTAAAGGGCAAATGGACTGTACTTATATAGCTCCTTTCTATCTTATCAAGATACTCAAAGTGCTTTACACTGCAATCTGTGCTTCATTTAACCATTCATACAGCACTCTACTAGATCTGTAGAAAGAATAATCAGTGCTTTATCACATTCATACACCAATGGGACACACATCGGAGGCAATAAGGGGTTCAGTGTCTTGCCCAGGGATACTTCGGCATGTGACTGCTGGTGGAATCGAACCCCCAACTCTTGCTTTGGAGTACGACTGCTTTAACCACTCAGCCACCGCCGCCCCACAACGACCCATGCAGACAGCAGTGGGGTTCAGCCTGGTCCTGGTTGCCACGGTGCTGGTCTGGACCCGGTCCGAGGTGGTGGACGACATCCTGGGCAGCCTTGCGCGGAGCTGCAGCACATGCACATCAACATGGACGGTGCGGTATAGGCTTGTTATGCTACAGGGTAGGTCTGCTGAACCGAGCTGCAGCTGCTGGTCTGCAGAGCTGGTGATTAACCAGATGAAATATCTCAGTAGTGTAGAGTACATATACCGTATTTTTCAGACTATAAGGCGCATTTAAAATCTTTTAATTTTCTCAAAAATCGTCAGTTAGTCTTATAATCAGGTGCATCTTATGTATTAATTCTGGTTGTGTGCATACTGACCTGAAACCTTTTTTATGTGGTACAACTGAACAATGTTGAGAGTTATTGTGAATGAGCTGAATAAAGTTTGACTTATCTGACTGTTTTGTTTAACTTAACGCACCTTATAATCTGGCTGCGCCTTATAGTCTGAAAAATACGGTACGTATGTTGTAAAAATCATGTAGGTTTAAGAGTTTAAAAAATTGTTAAAAACAATGCAAGAGTGTGGGAAGGGTTTATAAAGCCTTAAACTATATAGAAACACTAAAATAAATATAGCGTTCTTACTTCGCCGTTTTTCACCTATCGTGTGTGGAATGTAACCCCCGCGATAACCAAGGGACTACTGTACATGAATATTTACATACATTTATTACTCTGGTCAGAATTAAACTCTAATTATCTATAACAGGTAAGATGCTTTTGTTCATACCTGTTTTACAGAACCCTCCTGAAAATATCGGAACTATTAATTAACACAAGCTGTGTTAGAATAAATTAAAACTAATAAAAATAGTTAACAAACAAATTAATCTTAGTTTAAGCAAATTTACCTACTTTTAACATTTTTACCAATTCTAAGAAAAAAGTAAAAAAAAAAAAAAAATTCTAAATTCTAAAACTTTTTGAATCAATAAAATTATAAAATGAAGAGAAAACATCTTCATCTTCAGAACAGAAGTCTATTGGGGGGAGAGGTGGCGCAGAGGCTAGAGAAGGTGGGCCTGTGATTGCCGGTTCACGCCCCAGTACCGACAACATCAAAAATTTGGGTGGGGTAGGTGAAGCACCCACACTTGCCCCCACCCTCATTCGCCCCACCCTGGGCCCATGAGCAAGGCCCCTGGCCCCCATCTGCTCCCCAAACAGGTCTTTCTTGAAAATGAGTTCTCGTGGCTCAATGAGACCTGGATAAATAAAGGGTAAATTAAACAAAATTAAAAAAAGTTTTATTTATTTATTTTTTTTAACTTAACTTTGATTGATCACGACCTGAAAACATTCACCAGCTTTTTACAAATTCCAAAATAAACATTTTTTGGTGCATTTGCCAGGATACGTGTTAAATATTTAAATGTAGTTTAACCATTATTAATGCAGAACAACACTGCATCATACTCACTAAATCTTTTTGAGCTCACTTTGTTTTCTGTGACAGACACAAGCTTGTCTTTATTAAAAATAAATAAATAAATAAAATAAAAAATAAAAAAGCCAACAGAAAGTTCAGATGTTTTCAGCTCAGTAACTTTCTCAGGATTTTCTGACTCCTTGCTCATAAAATTATAATCATTCCTGACAGCAGACGGAGCTACAGGTTCTACTTATTAAATGTAAATTTTCATTTAAACACAGCTTTCCCTTTAACAAATACTTCACGGAGAATACATTAATTTCTCTTCACTCAGTCAAACAACAAATCTGCCTCATTTGAACTAAACCTGTAGTCGTGTTTCCATAGTGCCTGGTTTTGATGGTTTTGACTGGAACTGTGCAAAGTCAAGTAAGAACACTGACAGCTGGACGATGCTGTGGGTCCACCTGTTGGTGCCGATGGAGAAGTGGATTTACGCTGAACAGGGCTGGACTCTGTGGTGCTGTTACTTCACAGTGAGCAGGTCCTGGCTTGGTCTTTTCTGTGTGTTTGTATTAAAGCATGCATGCAATGTTAATTAGATGTTGTGTGTATGTGTGCGTGTATGGTGCTCTGTCTTTATGATCTTGTAATGGAGTGGCCAATCCAGGGTGCAGCTCCCTGATACTGTGAGCTGAAGGAAGCGGGTTTGGGAAATACAAATATGGATAGAAAAAATATGACAAGAAACTATTATCTCACATGGTGCTGCGGTAGCTCAGTGGTCAGTTCCACGGGGAATGTCATCCAGCGTCAAACAATCACCAAATCTTTCATGATTTCGTTCGTTATCACGACCTCCGCAGGCGAAAGAGAAACAGCAACAACTGCTTCATCTGGCATGAATGAATGACTTTGATTTGCTGGTTCAAAGATCTGTAGAGAAATAAAATCAAACTTCACATCAGTCTGTAACTGTTTGAAAACCACTTACTGTTATCCTACCTGTTGCTAATTAACAAATGTTCCAGAAAGTGTATGATTTACACACTTCCTTAAGTTTTGAACTCCCCTCGTACAAATCTTTCTGCTGAAGGTGAAAGCGCAACAATGTTTTTGTCACCGTGTGCTCATGTGTCTGTCAGGCTCATTAAATATTCATGAACCACTGGATGGATTTCAGTCAAACTATCAGAAATTAGTTATTGGACGAACATTTACAGCTGAATGGCTTCTAGACTGAATCATATTTAAGTTGGATTAACACAAAAATCACTGTAACAGTGGCGATTTTAGCCTCTTTTTGTGGGATGCTCAAGCACCCATAAATTTTAACTCAGCATCCCTGAAAAATAGAGTAAAAAAAAAAAGTTTTATTTTTATTTTTTAGAGGGTTCTGGGTTTTGGGTTCTGTTTTTGCCATTTATGATTCAATGCAACAAAATAAAATAATTTATAAGAGAACAGATCATTGTAATACTTGGTTTATTTAAATAATGATTTTAATTTTTGTATGTCCGGCCCCTGAGTTATTTAGTTGAATAGCCCATTTCCAAAACCTAAATTGAGTCTGGAAAAATATAAAAGATGGATAAAGCCTTGCAGGTGACCTCATGAGCAGCTGAATACCACAGTGATAAACAGGAAGTACATGTTCACTGTATGAAAGTAACTGCAGGTATGCTTAATAGTTAAATGAAAGGTTATTGCTTAAAGCTAGTTAGGTTAGTTGTTTTGTGTTTGTTATATGTAGATATAGATATATGTATGTAAATGCAGATGTTTAACAACTTGCTAAAATACACAAGAATGCAGGAAATTACACCTACTTTATTCAAAATATTCTGGGGGAGGACACCCAGACCCCCACCAGTGTGTCCCCCCCCACAATATGAATACTTCTGATGCCAGTGGCCACCACGTTGTTCAAGCCAAGAGCTGTTGTCAACACTGGGGGCTAAGCCCCCCTAAAGCGCTGATTCTAGAATCGCCCCTGCACTGTAACGTACTCTAAATGTCAGGTAATGATCGTCGTCATGAGCAATAGACTCTGAGATTTGTTTGTTTTGTCAGAATTAGTTTTGTTTCCGACTCAGGATAAAAACTTTTCAAAGCTTCTGGCTCCGAATCTTATTTTTGTTCTTTTGAATCCTTTTGTAATTTTTTTTCATTTACCCTTTATTTATACAGATAGTCTCATTGAGTCATGAGAACTCATTTTCAAGAGAGACCTGTTTTTGGGAGCAGATGGTGGGGGTTAAGGGCCTTGCTCAGGGGCCCAGAGTGGGGCAAATGAAGGTGGAGGCAGGTGTTGGTGTTTTACCTTTACCACCCACATTTTGATGTTGACGGTACCGGGAGTTGAATCTGCGACTTTCCAATCACAGGCCCACCTTCTCTAACCTCTGTGCCACCACTCCCCAAATTTGGACAAACCATACATGGTTTTAGTATAATTAGTAATAGATTCTTATTGGTTCAAAATTGAACGTCTATGTGTTTATGGAATAAAACCTTTGTCAGTTTATCACATGCACCTTTTGAAGAATTTGTTACGCGAGCGTCTCAAGGATCAGGGGTTACCAACACACAATTCACAACCTCATTGTGCTCTAATGCTCTCACATTATTAACACACAGCTCTCACACTCCTCACAGTGTTGCTGTTGCTCAGGTCAGACACCTGATGTCAGCTGTGCATGTCCTCTGAGCCTGGAGTCACCTATAAAACCCTTTGCTCGCCTCAAACAGATTATACATTAATGCATCAGGCAAAGTTCTCTGTAAAAGCTGCTAAATAAAAATTTACAGCTGTGCCAGTGGGTCTCCGTCACACGTGACTCTGTCTTTGTGTGGAGACAACTTGAGGACGGAGAACTACAGGGACACAGCCAGTGGACAAAGTTCAGCAAAAGCCTGATAAAATCAGCAGCTACACATGTGTACACACACACACGCACGCACGCACGCACGCACGCACACACACACGTCAATAGTTGGTGTTGATGTGAACTTGTGGAGGTTTTCATCTGAGCTCCTTGTAAACACGATGCAAAAAGTGACATTCTTCATTAGATTACTACTGAGCCCTGAGAGACCATTCACACAAACCCACACACCGAAACATGCACTCACTCCCTGCGTCTGGCCCGAACGCTCACACTTTGGCTGTTCCCTTCAACAACGAGTGAACACATGAAAAATCCCTGACTGGACCTCTCTGCTGTGATTCAACTGAGCTGACACAGCTGTCTGTCCTGTGAAAGGTTTCCTCTCCTCCACTGTACGATCAACCAATAACTTTTAAAAAAAGTTCACGGACTGAGTTTCTAAGCCCAGATTGGACGACTCTTGCCTCGCACCCTCTCACTCACCCCCTCCCTCTGCAGTTCTGTAGCTTTCCTTCCTTGCCTTTTTGCTCCTGTCCTTTCTTTCTGGGTGTAAATGGAGAAGCTGGGTTCTGTGGAACCTGCACACCCTGTGCCGGGTGCAGAACCCGCTGCCGGGGCTGCCAAGATGGAGGGGGCGCTCGGGGATGAGGGGGCAACGCTTGCCAGCTCCAAGCTGTTCAGGTGTGAGTGTGTGAGACGCTGGCTTCCACCTGCCTACAGAGAAGAACTGTACCACGTCTTACGGCTCACGGGCCCTCTGGTGAGTGGAGGACAGCTGAAGTGTGGTTTAGTTCTGATTGGACTACATTCTTTTACTGGTTTCTCTTGATGGAAAGTAAACCTGCTGGGCACGACTTAATCTAACAGTGCAATCACTTGTGAGATGTAGCTGCAACAAGTGAAAAATGAGTGCTGCACTTAAGGATGAATTAGCACTTGGCTCCTGATTTCCAAACGTGAACTTTTCCTCTGATCATTTGTTCGTTGTGTATCCAACTTGTTTTTGTTTCAACAGCTGCTGTCTCGAATCCTCAACTTTCTGCTGCCGTTTGTCATCACCATTTTCTGTGGCCACATTGGAAACGCAGAACTGGCTGGATTTGCACTTGCATCAGCGGTAGGATAATAAATAATCATGTGTTACGTGTTGTCATCACTGCATGTTCCCATACAATGATGACATTGGCTCTCGGCATTTAACCCAATTGCACCTGGGATACACTGAAGTGGTGCAGTGAGCAGCTATTGAAGGCGCCCGGGGAGCAATTGGGGATAGGGTGTGCTGCTCAGAGACACCACGAAATATGCAATGACTGGGTCCCCATTGTGCCCTGCCTCTACCCCGTCTCGCAAGGTTCTCCTCAGAGCTTTTTATGTGACTCTTTGTAGGTAATTGGTTTATTTTGTCACCAAGTAAAGGAAGTTCTGGATGCACTTTCAGCAGCTAATCACAAAAATTAATAGCAAATAAGCAAAATTAATGGAACTTATCAAATAACCAATAAATCTGATTGGTTTAGAGACTGCCTTGTGTTGTAGTGACACATTTTTCTCCATCAGAAGAGTTTGACATTTAAAATCAGACTTATCCACCTGTTGGATTTGACAAATCTCCTGGATTTGTTAATAATAAAAATACAGACTTTTCTGTTCACAAAGTAGAAATGTTTCCTTATTTGTCTGCGGTTTTCTCAGACATCCAGTGTGTGATTTTTGCTTTGAGTCGCTGCGGAGAAACAATCCATTTTGAGCTAAAACACTACACCTGCACTGGATAAGAAATGTTTTGTGCCACAGAAGTCTGTGTTTACTGAGCCACTTGACATTTAAAGATAATTATCAAAAGCTCCTCTGGCTTCGTCAGCGTTAGATCTGCTAAAAAAATCTACATGAAGTGCTGAATTAAAAAAAATAAAGTCTCCTCGCTCTAATATTTGGTGTCGTTAATGCTGGACTGGAAGACTCTCCCTGTTAGAGAAGTTTATTTTTTGGGGCAACAGCGTCAAATCTTCACTTTGATCTGGTGCAGATTTTGCAGATAATGTGTTTGTTGGAGTCTGAATATAAAAAACGTGCTCAGTTTATATATATATATAAAAAAAAAAGCCAATAACTGAATGTGGTTTGTGCACAATGAGTGCTCAATAAGACATGAAAGTGATTTAAACACAGATTTTAGTTTGAAAGGTTAAAATAATAAAAAAGAGAGTACATTTATTGTAGGTATATGTACCTGTGCAGTATCTGCCTCTGTAGGTTCAACATCCAGTGGTTTTGCAGATAATAATTGACTTGTGTGACCTTTGTACTACTGTACAACCATATCATAAACGTTGTGTTCATGTTTCACACTGAGCCTAAAGCTAAAGATCACACTCTTTAGAAAGGTTATAGATAATATCTAATGTAGCATGAAGCTGCACTGCTCTATGACCCCTGACCCTTGGGTGTCTTCCAGACTCACCATGAATTGCTTTCTCTAAAAGTTACATTAGACTCAAATAATCAGATAAAATTAAATAGAACTTTATTAATCTCACAGGAAATTGTTTAAATTTAATGTCTGTATTAATGTCTGATGTTTTTCCACACATTCACTGTCCTTGGATGCAGAGTCAGCGAAAGTCTGACTCAAGCCTCCCATGCAAAAGAGATCTGAGATCTCAGTGGGATTTGTCTGGTTAAATAAAGGTTAATAAATAATGTTTACCATTATTTTTCCTGTTTCTAAGCAGGACAAAACAAATCATCAATCAAGTTTGTTTTATTTCATTATAACAAGTGAGAACATGAATAATTTTGATTATTGTTTTCAGTCAATATAATGTGTTTTACATGTTCTGTTTCTCAGAACGTGATAATTCCTTCAGAGACACTTGTTGAAAGCTCTTTGAGCTGGAGCGGTTTGCTTCAGAGGGGAAGTCTCAGTGTTCCTAAGGGTAGTCAAAACAATCTCCTTAAAGCTGTTGTTTTGCACAAAGCCTCTTTGGGTGACAAAGCAGTTCACCTTGGACTCACGAACCCGAGAAGCTCGTCTTTGGCTCTGAACCGGAAAGCGGTTCGTTTTGGACCCCGATCCTGACGTAGACCGAGGTCCACTCATTCGTTCCTGAGCAGATAAACATGGTGCTCAATGACAACTCGTTAGAAAAACAGAAGTTTAAATCACTGCAGAAGATGAGGCGTTTTTCTCACTGCAAGACTCACGTTCACTTGAAGTCTAAGCCGGCTGAAGGTGTCGATGGACGGTGCACCTTCTCATCGGCTGTTGCCCTCACAGACCCCTGAAGCTGTCACAGTGATAGTCAGCTACCTTGGGCAGTTCCTGGCGAGTCCTCTTCGTGGTGTATCCTGGTCTGATCCACGAGAGAACCCAAGAAAGACGAGCGACCTGGTGCCTTCAACACCGAACCGGTAAGGAGCAGAACCTGGTGACATGATGCCTTGGTCTGGTTATGCTATTTTTTAGCTGATTGTTTCCTGGATTGCAGTGACAATAAATGACTCATCTGATCACCGTACATAAGTTATTTTAACCAAAATCCAAACTATTTATGAAAATAGTCAAACTTTGCCTAAATTCATGCGCTCATAAAAACTGAAATAATTCCTGCTCAAAGAGTGAATTTTGCCTTAGATGAGAGAATTAAGCCTTGATTGATTCATTATTATTGATTGTTTATTATTGTTGTTGATTCTTGATTATTTTTGTAATAAAACTTCAAAGACAACTTTGGTCTCTTCATTCAGATGAATATTCACTTGTTCTGGTATAAAACTCCCTGTAATTAACAGATTCTACGTCGGTGACTGACTTCTGATTATTAAAGTGTGAATATATTAATTAAATTGTTGTTGGTCAGTAAACTGACCAGCTGGTGCCCCACCTTATTGAATGAAAAATAAATAAAAACATGTAGTGGAGGGAAGTGGAGAAAGTGTCACCCTTCTTCCTCCATCTCACTTCTTAATTGCTACAGCTGCTGTAGATATTTCTTTGAATTGCCTTAATTTAGTAAAAAGAGTTTAATTTTGACCAGACCTGAGCTAATGGTTGGTTTGAGGAGGGTTAAAGCCAAAATGTAATGCGGCCATCTTTAAATATCTCCAGTCTTTAAAGTTAAATAGTGTTTCATTCAAAAACTGTTTTATAAACCTTTACACTATTAGTCTTCCATCACGCCAGAAATATTATAATCCTGCTTTAAGTGTCTTAGGCTGCTCCAGAAGTGCTACAGCTAGCCACAGATGCTTTTGCTATTAACCATATGTGCACACCCATGTAATGTGAAATACACGGTGATGCAAAGATGTAATTAATAATGTTTGCGTGACCATTTGGTCTTGGTACTGCTTGGACTCGTTTTTTGTTTTTTTGGTGATCTGGTCAGAATTAAACCTGTTTCTCCAAATTGGGATTATTCAAGATAGCCATGTAAAACAGGTAAGATGTTAATCGTTCATAAACTTTTCACAGACCTTTCTGTTCCTGTCAGGTTGATGATGTAAATGGAGCTTTAAAAACTGACTGGCTCAGGTTGTTTCATCGTGCACAGATTTATGTTTTATAGATACAGGAATAACAGAAAGCGTCTCTCATGATCCATTTTGGTTTAATCAGCTCCACGCAAACTTAAAATGAAAATGATTGACCTGTAACATCTTATAACTAAGGTGGATTTTGTTTCTTTCCTTTCAGACCATTAATGTGACGATCACAGCCACAGGCTACGGTCTGACCATCGCTTGTGACACTCTCATATCTCAGGTGAGCTCATCTTATCTGGGTTTCCAGTTTATGGTTTGATCAGAAACTAAAGATCTTGATAGAATTTCTCACTCGGCCTTTAAAGACGTTTGGCAGTAAGAACATGAAGCGTGTGGGGGTGATCCTCCAGAGAAGTTCCCTCATCCTGCTGCTCTTCTGTCTGCCCTGTTGGGGTCTTCTCATCAACTCCCACAACTTACTGCTCCTCCTGTACCAGGAGGAGGAGGTGGCCAGGTAACTCCCTCTACCCTCCTTTAAACAACTCACGATTTCAGCCAAAAGGCACTTCTTTATCTCTGTTGTAACATTTATCAGTAGTTGTGACATCTATATGATCTTATTTTATATCTTTTATCGCTCAGCTTTCTATGCACATTTACCAAACTGTTATAGACGCGACATGGCATGTCACTGCAGCACATGATGTTAAAAACATGTCAGAAATATAACTTTTTCTACCTGTATATTTCAGAATTGCCCAGCTTTATGTGATGGTGTTTCTGCCAGCTGTTCCAGTGAGTAAAAAGGAGAAGTGTCAGCTACTTGCTAAAATGACAAATATAAAACATTTGGAATGCATGTTCATTGCCTCTCATTAACAGTGAATCATAAGAAGGATTGTTTTAATGTGTATAGAAGATTCAAAGTTTCTCAACTTCTCTAAGTTTTACTTTAAATGAGGCCTTTACGATGACACTAGATGTGAGAAAATCCCAAAGAACTCATTCCTTATCTACAAACCCTGCTCTGCTCGGCAGGTTTTATTTTATAGTTTAGTCACCACAAACTTAATAATGGACATAAATAAGTTTAACCTCTGTGAGCTATTCTGAAACACTGCAGTTTGCTGTCTCTGCTCCTCCTTCTGGCTCAGTTTGATGTAAACCATAGTTAAATGTTGGAGTACAGATGTGTAAAACAGCCAGATGTTTGGAGGAGGAGAGCCCAAATCACTCCAGTCCTCCACTGCATGATGGTTTGATCACCTCTGGGGAGCATCATTCCTCTGAACTTTAAGATTTTAACAGGTTAACATAAAGAGTGCATTTTACAGATTTTTACAGGTTTGTCCTTAATGTAGTCGTTTTATGTTGCATTTCAGACGCAGCTTTTAAAGCAAACAAGAAATGTGCAGTTATACGTATGTAAAATATAAAAGAAGAAGTCAGTGCGTTTAATGCAAAACAATGAAGGATTGAGATGAATAATTTAATAATTTAATCTCATTTAGACAGACTTTTAATAAAGATTATAAAAAGTCACCCTATTTGAAAACAAAACTAGAGAAATAGCATTTCCTGCGAAAATTCAGTGTGAATGCTTATTGCTGAACAGCTTGCTGAAAAACAGCTGAAATTTGCTAAAAAACATGCTGAAATTGCTGAAATGAAAGAACAAGCCTAAATTAGCAGAAGAAAGAATAAAGGACACATATTTGTTGAATTAAGTTTCAATAAGCAGAAATGAGCACAAAAATGAGGAAATTAGCTAAAAAATGCTGAATTTAGCAACAAACAGCTGAAAAGTAGCTGAAATCTTAAACTGCCAGAAAGAAGTGGGCGTAGATGTAATGAGTTAAAAAAAATGTGGAAAAAGTTGACAAAGTAAAAATGAGAATAAAAATAGTTGAAACTAGCAGAAAAAAGCTGAAAGGAGCTTAACAAGCCGAAATGAGCAGAAATAGGTTAATTAGGCTGAAAATAGCAGAAATTACCACAAAAAACTTGAATTTATTTGAAAATAGCTAAAATTGTCTAAAAAAAGGCTAAAAAAGGATATCTGAAAAGGTAGAACAGGCTTGAATTAGCAGAAGAAAGCAGAAAAAATACACTTATTAAGCTTTAGGTTGAAAGAAGCATAAATGAGCACAAAAAGTGGAAATTATCTGAAAAAGCTGAAATTGGCAACAAAAAAGCTGAAAAGTAGCTTTATCAATCAACCTTTATTTATACAGGTAAATCCCATTGAGCCTCGAGGACTCATTTACAAGAGAGACCTGAT